TATGCACTGTGATTAAGGACCTTATCCCAAATCTTTGAAATCCTCGAACAGATTTAGTTTCACTTTTCTTGGAAATAAGTCCTGTTATTGCATCTGCCTAGGTAAACATGGAGACCGCCCGCTTCTTCAAGTCAGACTTTGAGGAGAATGGCTCCATGGACAATGTCTGCCTCTTCTTAAATCTGGCAAATGATCCTACGTGAGTAACTGCAACTCTAGTCTTCCTCCTGCTCTTGCATTTTGTTCCCTCACCACAGCTCTTTGGTTTTGTCTGAATGTCATTTGTATCCAATGATTTTAGGAGCCAGTTTCTTGATTGCCTCACTTTGTCTGGATGGTTTTTTTGCTGCTTTTTGGTTGAAGTTGCTTCTTCAGTACAGGGTTACATTGAATCCACTGTCCTCTCTTTTTTGAGGTCATTTGTCATTGCATTACTTTTCCTAGTTTGGTATACCTTAGAATCTGTGAACAGTCATGTTTTTATGTTATTTGTACTGTTTTTCTCTTTTTAATTACGAATGTACATCTATTTTCCCACTGTGAGGCTAAACTCAACAGAAGGGTATGTAGCTGCAGTGCAGTACTACTTGAACTCTTGAGAAAGACACAATGCCACACCCCTTTCAGATGAGTAAGTTACCATTAAAATCCAGAGGGTTTTGTTTTCTTCTGCCTGATGATCTTACACAATAGTGCCTTAAGATATTGTGTTGTAAAGTCCTGGGTTTTAAAAAAATAAAAAAGAAATGAGTAGTTTTAAACATGTATTGTAATTGTATACACTAATGGCTTGAAATTATAGTCTTGTGAAGGTGGTAAGTAGTTGTCACGTTGACAATAAAAGCTCTTTTAAGTTTTCATTTTGAGTTATGTACCTTGAAACTTTTTACACACAATGAAATCCATTCCGTGTCAGAAGTTATGTATAAGTCTGGATTGTTTTTTTTCTTTTTTTCAGGATTGAGCGCATTATCACCCCTCGTCTTGCTTTAACTACAGCAGAATACTTGGCCTACCAATGCGAAAAGCATGTACTGGTTATTCTGACAGACATGAGCTCCTATGCAGAAGCTTTAAGAGAGGTAATTAAATGGTTTGTTTTACCGATCGCATGCCTGTACAGATTCATAAACCTATTGTCAATACCACAATACTTTTATCAACTACTGCAGTAGTATTTGAAGTACTAGTACATCCTCTGAGTTGCAACTTAGTACATTTTGCTTTTGGATTGATTTTTGTCTTGGTACATTTGTTGTAAATGAGGCTGGCAAAAAGGGAGACAAAGTCACATATTTAATATAATATTTTTAAATAATTGTCCTCAAATGGAACTCAAAGTCTTATGAGTGCTCCTTACATTAACAATATCCCTTGATTTCACTTCTACACCTTCAATTGTTTATCCCAGCATTCTGTTTGCCATTGCTGCTGCGAGCAGTAATCCAGGCGGCAAAACCTACACTGGTCTTTTAACCACAATCTATAGTAATAATTACGTACCATACTTCTTTTGTCATGCATAAATAAAGGAATGCAGCAGAGAAAGCTTTACTTATGAAAGCCAGTGCTGACTCAAAATAAAAGCAGTACAAATATAAAAACAGACAAAGAATTGACTACATATAGTAAAACATAAAAAAAAAAATCAGTTGTGTTGTTTATGAAATAAATTGCAATGCGTTTTCAGTACTTTGGAAATATCGTAACGTTTCATTATTTTTTTAAGTTTAGTGTTGGATTAAGGGCTTTTATAAAATAACAACCTTTCAAACGGTGCTGCATGAAGACAGACCTTGATGCCTTTTCCTTTATTTTTCTAATGATCTTTTTGTTGCACCAGGGGCAAGTTTTGATGTAGCTAACATGGCACAGTGGGTGTTTTTAAATAGTTAAGAATGTATGTATGCACATTTGGCAGACCTTCGTTGTGCTGCCCTTATTGTTTGTTTGTATTCTGGGTATAGAGTCTTTATATTAAAAAAGCTCTTCCAAAGGGCTATAGTGTTTAGTCTGTTTTTTAACCAAGACAAGCCTACTTGAAAAGAGCAGTGGGGGAATAATATGTAACTTATTAGCCTATTCACTTACTCCAAGGTTGTCTCCACAATCACATATTGTAACCAGACTTCACTCTAGTTTATAATGACCCAGAAATAAGCAATGAATTATTTTATTGCATGTACATCCTAAAATTATTCTGCATACCTTGTATATGTAATTTCTTATAAATGCATTGCTATAAAAATTTTCGATGCAGTTTGATTTCTGTAATATTGATGACTTAGGAAACGGGTGTGAACAAGATGACCAACAAAACTAGGTCAAACAACTGTGACGGAAAATGAGCAAAAAATCAGAATCAGAAAGGATCAGAATGCAGATTTAACCCGTATCTGACTTATGTTATGACTTGATAAAAATATTTCTAAAGCCAAGTGCCACAGACACTTGGGCTACATAGGTTGAGTATCTCCTACATTCTGCACAACATTGTTTCGTTGGGTGCCATACACTATGAAGTTGCAGTGTTATCAGTGGGAAATGCATTACTCCTCCAGTCAGTGCAGGTTCTGCTTTATAGCACTGGATCAGCATGTTAAATGATGAGAGACTTGACAGTGGGTGTGTCAGAAGAGAGTGTTCACAGTCCTTGTACCTCTCCCCCATGCTAGAACTGTGTTTATTGCTGGAGCAATACCAGTTGAACATTTAGGAACAATTAGGAGGGTATAAAATGCAAAAAATCATTTATAGTTCTAAATTAAAAATCCAGGGGAGTATTATGCAATCAGAATGATCATAATCAAACTGGTGACTGCTTCTGTAATATTTTTTATTAAATTAATACTTTAAATCTGAATGCAGCAAGTTAATGTATATATTTAGCATATACTGTATGATACATCCTTCTTTCATATTTTAGTGTAGTAAACTTTTCAGTAGGGTTTCAACAAAGTAATCCCATATTACAAAATAAATTTTCTCTTTTCTGGTTTCTGATTAATTGTGACTGGCTTTAACATACTTGTTGTCTTACCTGCATCTTTGAATTATGGTTTTCTTTTATGAAAACGTCTTTTTTGTCTGAAAAGATTTATTTAAAAAATTGCAAAGGTTGCCATGGTTGCTAAATTTCTTGATGCTGAATCACACTAAAAGACCTCTGAAAAGGAGCAATGAAAACTCAAATCTCCTATGTAAATAAAGCTATCCCATTTTACAGAAGGCTCAGTGATTAATTTAATGGGAAACAATTTTCAATATAAACAAAAGAGACCTTAAACAGCTCTCTAATGAAACCTAATTCAATTTTAAGAGAAGAACTGTTCCTTTTTTCTTATGACTACAATAAAACTTATAGTTTATGTAATAGTATAGTGCAGAAACAAAAGTGAATAGAATGGAGATACAGTATGGTGAACATAAAATAAAAAACAGATTGTATTTTTTTGTGCCTGTCTGGTTAAGATATCTTACTTGTTGTTTTTTCTATACTCTATGAATCTTTCCTAATGTGTGTGTATTGTTTTCATTCACTCAACTTATATGGGAAAATCTTGTAGTTACATGCCTTGCAAAAATATGTAGACTCTTACTTAATTTTTACGTTTTACCTTAAAGCCCTTAGTCTTGAAACTCTTTAAATTAACAATTAATATTTGTTACATACACACTAATACACTACTTCATACATTCAAACCAAAAAACAAAAATTAAGAAGTAAAAAATTAGTATAAAAGAAAAATAGAAAACGCCAGGTATAAAGTCATTGAAAGCACAGATCAGGAAAAGGGTACAAAACTATCCAAGTCTCTGAATATCTGTGTGAGCACAGTCTGCTTAATTGGTGAGAAATTGAAGGTTCATTATATCGCCCAGGCACTGAATAGATCAGGCTGTCCCTCCAAACTGAGCAGCCAGACAAGGAGGAAACTGGTGAGGTATGCAACTGTTGGAGGTCAATGCCAACTTTGAAAAGGCTACAGAGTTCAGCGGCTGAGATAGGAGAAAATGTGCACCAGTTACCAATACCCAGAACACTTAAAACTAGCCTGTATGGCTGGATGGGAAGAAGGAAGCCATTACGGAAAACAACAGCTACAACGTGATTAGTTAAACTGCAAATGTGACAAACGTTTTGTGGTCAAATGAGAAAAAATTGCTGGCAACCTTGCTTCCACCAGAATATGTAAATCACGTCATTTTTTTCTCTTTAGTTTTTGTTGACATACCCACAGAAGTCTGCAGTTTTAGCGTCCTGTTTTTGCATAAAATACTAAGTTTACAAAAATGTGTATACATAGTTTTTTCACAAAATTGGACACAATGGGAAGGGTTTGAATAGTTCTGCAAAGCACCATATGTCTAGTGCTGTAATTCCCAAAGTGGGTGGAAAAGATCTGAACCTTTGTTTAGTAATTCTAGACAACTTATCGTGCTTACAAGCCAAAACATTCTGTTAAATCGTTGCAAGATATCTTGTATTTAGGCCACCTAAATAAACTGGTCTTTGTCACTTTATAATATAGTTTAATTTTATAGGCAGCACATAAACTAAGCTAAAGCTGATGTACGTGTTTATTTTTTAACTGTTTAGTGAATTCCAAATTAGGGCATCACAGTGTCGTAATTTTTAGTCAGTGATTTTGGGGTGAATTCATGATTAACCTTTGTGACTCATTGTTTTTGGCCTCATGTTTGTTGTAAGTGTAGTTTGCGATATCGTGTTGCTCGTTTCAGGTTTCAGCAGCCCGTGAGGAGGTGCCTGGTCGAAGAGGCTTCCCAGGTTACATGTACACCGACCTGGCCACAATCTACGAGCGTGCTGGGAGAATTGAGGGCAGAAATGGCTCCATCACACAGATCCCAATCCTTACAATGCCCAACGATGGTAAGTAGGAAGTGAAGTGGAGGAAATAAAATTGTACTTTATTGACATTGCATAGTACATCCTGCATCCAAAAAATGACCATGTCCTGTCCCAGCCATGAGGATTCTCGGGAAATTTTAAAGGTGACATTCAGACTCCATTCAGAAGTGGCTCACCTGATAAAATGTTTGTTCCAATCCATGCTGTGCCACTTCGGCTTGGGCATCTGTAATGAAAATGCTAAATTGTCAGATCACCACCAGTCGTGCCTCTCCTTACCACTCAGCAGTCTGTGACTGTTGTCCGGGAACTGTTTTGGTCTGAACTTAAAGTCCAAAAAGTGCATTAAGTGTTAAATGTTATCCACATTTTAAACTTAATAGCATAAAATAATCTTGCATTAAGTTTGATTATATTGTGTTGTTAGTGCAAAAAATAATTTGATTCATTTTATCTTTTTATTGGATAAAAATTGAAACTAGATGTCGCTTTTTGTGTCTTCTTTTATGAATCATTTCTAGTAAATGAGTTCTGCTTCTTTTAATTTATGCTCGTGTGCTTTAGCAGCATACACATCATAATAACCAATGAGAAAAGATAGCTGTATATTTTCAAACCCCAAACGTCTGCATACTGTTGTCCTTGTTTTAGTCTATGTACAGCATTTTTATGTAATTGGCCTTTATCATTCCAATTATTTCACAGATATTACCCATCCTATTCCTGACTTGACGGGTTATATCACTGAAGGACAGGTCTATGTTGACAGACAGCTGCACAATAGACAGGTAAAAATAAACCCACATGTAGCAGTTGTTGATTTTATTCGTGTTTTCTGGAGAAACAAAACCGTGCTTCTTATTATGGTTTATTTTTAATACAGTACATTATGACATTGTTCCTCTTCACTACCTGGTTTGTTTCTAATTTAGAAAAATGATAAAAATATCACATATCAAAAAGTGTTTATTCTTGACAAATTCAGCTGTGAGTGTGCAAGATGAATCCTGTAACTAAGCAGAATCATTTGGGTTGTAAGTTTTTCATGTGGTACAGGAGGAAGATGTTTGTCTTTTATGTGCGAAAAAAGGATAGATCAGGATAGATCAGAGTTTCTCAATCTCAAGACCATTTCCCTAAGATCTTCCTCCTTTGAGGAGCACTTACTCTAAAAAGAGGTTCATAGCACAAATACCTTTTAATTAGTAAAATTATTTAATATTATAGCAGGGAATGGTTTTAAGACCAAAGGATGAGAAACATGTGGATAGAATAGATGATCTTGAAAACATAGCACTCACAAAACTTTTAGAACATTTTGTATTGTCATCATTGTTTCATTAGTTATATAATATTTCCATAAATACTTTTCTCTGTTTTCAATTTTATAAGCTGAATTTATCAGACTTTATTATTTATGCCAATCCCTGAACAACAGGTTAAATACCAAATGTTTTTTTATTGACATGTATCCAATATAAGGTGTCCAAACAAACATGGACACAAAACCTTTAAGGTGTGTATGAAATCATTACAGATATTAAGGTTCAGATACAATGTGATTTAATTATGATAACAGATAATAGTTCACAATAGAAAAACTAAAAATCCAACATTAAATCTACATCCCTTAGATATACCCTCCTATCAATGTGTTGCCTTCTCTGTCTCGACTGATGAAATCAGCTATTGGAGAAGGGATGACACGCAAAGACCACGCTGATGTCTCCAACCAACTGGTAAAGAGCTTCTCTGTGTATTTTAAGAGAGTGATGCTGTGCATGCTAAATTGCATAACTGGTAATGCTTTCATACAATGTACATTTGTCTATAAAGGGTTTTACTTGTTTTCCATTTTAGTTGAAAACAAATTCCATTTTAGTTGATAAAACATTGAATAAACTCATCAATAATCCTTAAGAAGATGAGAATGTGGAGATAAAGGTCAGTTAATCTTAAATGTTTCCAGAGGCTTTGAAAGTACAGCTTACTCTTCAAATAGGAGGCAACTCCAATGGTGACAAGAAACTGAAGCTTTCACTCATGTACAGAAGTGAACCTCTGGGCACTTCACAATGTTGGTAAATCTCGGCTTCCTGTAAAATGGGAATTGCATTGGAATGCCTGGATTACCAAGCAGGATTTCTATGAATGTTTTTTTCATTATTTGGCTCCAGCACTAAAAACTATTGAAAGGGGGAAAAATCGTTTGTTTTACTTTCAGACAGTACTAATGTACACACAACGATTAATTATTAATAGTTTTGCCCAAACATGAAGAACATGTTTAAGCCACTGAGGACAACAATCATCATGCAGCCGATGGCCCAGGGTGTTGTTGCTACCATGCACTCTGATTATTTGCAATGCACATTCTCCAATCTTATTGAGGAAATTAATGGTTAAGACAAAATAACTATAACCAGAGTGCCACCCAGTGATAAGTTACAATGAAAAGAATTAGAAATGAGTGATAGGTTTGCAAAAATGTTTTCAAAATGTCACATATTGGACACTACATAATAGCAATGGTTTGCAATTAGTTTTTCTTAAGTAATAATACTGTTCAAAACTCCTTAAAATCAGAAGTTGTTGTATACTAGACCAAACAGTACAGTGTTGCATCAGTCCTTATATATATTTGGGTTGTTATGAGTTAAAGACCTTACCCTTTGTCTTCAATAATTCATTGTTTCTAATAGGAGAACTGTCCCCACATACGTTGCATAAATTAAGTCCTTATTCTTACCTCACCCCTTAACTTGGAGGGGAAATTCCACATTATGGGGCAGTTTCACAAAGAAAGATAACTCAGCTCGCTAACTTGAGTGAATATGTTGTCAAGTGTCTGGATTTTGGTTTCACAAAGCAAGACTGAATTGTACCCAGTTAAGCAGGTTAATTTAAAGTTAGCCTGACTTAGTGGTTAAGAGCTCAACCCACAGACCCATCAGTCCTCTGCAAAAAAATGACATCACCTTTCTTCAGGGATCGAGTTAATATATAATACATAAGAGTCTTGCGGAGAGAATTAAAGGTTTAGAGATCACCAAGACCCTTTACAGTTTGTTCATATTTTGTATTTAAAAGATACAGGATATACTTTACATTCACAATCTCTTCAGGCCATATATTGTTAACACATATTACTCATTATAGCTCAGCATCAACAGAAAGTCAAACTCTGTGCCCAGGGCTGAATTTCCTTGTGACTGGTGCAGTTTTTTTACTGCATTGCTGACTCAAAGGCATTCGGTAAAGAGACATTGTGTCATGCAATAAGGAAAGTGGTGTTTGCACTGGTTTTTGCATGTATTTGTAACATTTCTCAGCCTTACATGAGTGAAGTAGTTTAAGTAGGTAGCTGTGTCAGCATGCATAGGCTGCAAAGAAACAGTTAAAGGTTCATTCCATGTTGAAAAGAGAAAAAAGGAAACACAACGTTTCGGCAGTGGAGTCTTCTTTGAGTGTGAGCTTCTTTTCTTTTCAGCATGGAATAAACCCATTACCTGTTCTTTTACATTAGTGAATACTGTCAAACTAGGGTTTCGTGAAATAGCCAGTAATATTCTCATATATCTATCCAGTGTACATGTAGCTTCTGTTCTCTATAGCTATGTACAGTACCTTGATCTTCCAGCCTTTCCTAACGTAATATGTGCTCTGGACTGCACAGGAAGCTATTTTTGTTCACAGAAAATCAATTCACAGCATCAGACCCTGCCTAGCATAAAACATATGAACGTTGAATACACAAATGACAATGAATCAATCATTTCCATCAAGAGTTTTAAACACCATGTGTGTGCCTACAGCGGGTTAGATGCAAGACTGAGTTCATAATGTACAGTTTTTTTGGTCATCAGAAAGTTTCCTCTGTTATCAAATAAGTAATGACAACACGTGCATGTTCACACAATTCTTTTGAAGTTTCACCTTAATATATTTAATCTGATTTCATAATTACTGTCCACATTCAATTTATTGGCAATTCTTTGCCGGAAATCTTCCCTGGCTTTTGCAAAAGCTACCCTATTACAGCAGATTTGCCCTCCTCATAGTTTTCCATAAGGAGCTGTAATGCATGATCACTGGATTAAGACACATGTTCTTTTGCTGGGGTTTTTGCTGGCGAGGATGCACAATTCAGTGTTCAACCCTCCTGCCTACTGATTAACTTCCCCTTAATGTGTGGTTAATCAGATTGCTTAAGATTTAACATGACAACTGAAACCAGAGATTGCCTTCGTGAAACTGGAGTAAGCCTGAACTCAGGTATTGGGTTAAGTTGAATTTGTTAAATCTACTTCGTAAAACGGCCCATATAAGTAGTTTCGCTTTGTAGCACTTTTGTTGCCCCTAACCCCAACATACAATGAGAACCCCACTTTACATGGGTGTTGTGGGTTTGTGGAACCTGAAATTAAAAAAGGAAAATATCTTGGAAGTCTTAGAGCTTGGGGTGTTTGGATAACCCAGTAAAGGACACCTGGAGCCCACATGACAGCCAATGTATATATTGTAAACGTATATAATGGAATCTTCCTTACAGCTGAGCAAAATAAATATTCCAACAATTCTACCCAAGGTCATTCCTGTGGCATATTATCAGCAGGGAAAGTTACTAGATGTATTTCGTTGTAGAAATAGTTTGTAATCACAAATATAACAACAATAAAACCAATAGTAACACTTTCAAGGACAGAAACAGATGTCTAAAACACGTTTAAGCTTAATCAACTAAATGTAACAGGCATTTTCTTTATTTCTTTCTCACCAGTACACTGTTGAAGGCACTTTTTTAAATGTTTATGGCCTTGCACTATACCCAGCTTTTGAGTGCTACCATTCAAAGATGTATCACGTGCATTTTTCTGACATGAATAAAAACAAAATCAGTTGTTGCCTTTGCTTTATTGAACGCCTTTCTCTGCAGTACGCCTGCTATGCTATTGGCAAGGATGTCCAGGCCATGAAGGCTGTAGTGGGAGAGGAAGCCCTGACTTCAGATGATCTGCTGTATCTGGAATTTCTGCAGAAGTTTGAGAAGAACTTCATTGCTCAGGGTAAGAATATGACAGGTTGCAAGATTTATTGGTGTGGGGGAAATCAGTGACAGACTAGATAATACAAGTCTCCTGTCATGGTTCTCTCAACTCTAATAGACTGAAATCGTCTTGTACAGTGAGTAAATTCTACATTGCATGAAACTTGAATTTCCTTAATCACTCTGACATTTTTTGTTAAAATTGCAATTCTGTTGTGAAATAAATGTAAGTTTAGAGCTACACTCGTCCTTTCTAAAGGATTGTCTGGTAGACAATGTAATGATTATGTTTGCAGACCTCGTTTTACTCATGTGAGTGTCATTGGCAAGTATTAGTCACTTTAATGCTTTAAATCCACTTCCTGCCTGTTTTTGTCTGTATTTGTTTCTTGGATTTTTCTGCAGTCTCTTTCCTGTTCACATGCTGCTACTTTATCTTCACCTTAAATTCTGCCTACTTCTGCTAGAAAATATAGAAGTTAATTAGCAACTACAGTATATAAGAATGTTACTGCTTTCTATGTCAGTAGAATGCATGAATATTTTTAATGACTGTATAAAGCAGATAACCTCCAATACTGACATACTCCTGTTGAAGGGAAAGATTTTCTTGGATCAGAGTCATACTGTATATAGTTACACTTTTAAAGGGTAGGAGTACAGCACTTTATTTCTTATTAGATTCTTATTAATATTTCAATTTTTAAGGGTGCTTCCAAAATATCATAAGATTTTTCTTCATAATTTCATCAAATTGAAATGTATTTTTCTGATTTGAAACTCCCAGTATATAAGAAGAGCCAAAGGCTATGTAGTTGGTCAATTTCCTATACGTCTATGTGTTTCCACTGAATTATGACAGTGTGGAGAAAGAGCGGGTTTGAAAGAGTGTGTATATAATAACATGATAAAAAAATCATGTTTTACCTTGACATGAAGACTAAGACTGATCAAATAATTTCAGTAAAACCGTGTCTTGACTGATCTCTGCTGCAGAAAAACACAATAGAGAGCAAGATACCTTCTCTGAAACCGATATGCGGTTGTGGTCATCAAAGAATGAGTCATGGAAAGGTCAGGTGGAAATTTTCAGTAATTTTGCCAGTGTAGTAATTCTTTGCATTTTGATCTGCCCTAGGTCCGTATGATAACAGAACAGTGTTCGAAACTTTAGATATTGGGTGGCAGTTGCTCCGAATCTTCCCCAAGGAGATGCTGAAGAGAATCCCACAGTCTACCTTGGCAGAGTTCTACCCCAGGGAGTCTGCTGCTAGGCATTGAGAAGGCCCAAGATCTTCAATAGAGCATATAGCAATAACCTTACCTGTTTCATTTTAAATGTATTGTCATTGTCCTTGTTAAAAACAATGTACTGTCATTGTCCTTGTTAAAAATAAATGGCTGTAGTAAATTTCTGAATAACTTTCAAATAAATGTCTGGATTATTTGCATACTTTTAAGTATCTAGAGGTAAATCTGAAATATGAAGTTATGTTCGAAACCAGAAGACAATCCTGACAGGGTAAAAAATGAATGTGGTTTTATGTCTTGTTTTATTCCTATTGAAAAATCTGTTCTGATGTCACCCTCTTGGTTTACAATTAGGTAGATTGGATGCAATGATTTTGAAGCAAAGCAAAGATTCATTCCTCCTCTGATGAAACATGTTGCTTTAATGTGTTGCTCTCTTAAATAATGTGTGCATGTTTTTCACAAAACCCGACATGCAACAAGGCCATTCCAGGTCTGTATTATAAAAAGCGCTGAGTGTTTTCTCTTCAACCAGGTGTGCTGTATTTGATTTACTTGTATGCAGGGAGTGTTTGCCTTTAGTGAGTGCAGGTATTTTGGCATCTATGCAAGGCAGAATTGATTTTTAATTAGACTTTTTGTCTTCTTTGGATCTTTCCTGCCTGAATGGGGCCTTCTTTTGCTGTTCACTTGTGCTTTTGACCATTTTATCAAAAACTTTCTTATTTCAGAATACTTTTTGTTTACATGAGCCCAATCAAAACATGATAAAAAACAATATAAAAAAATGTCAAAACATACATCATATAAAACATAATAAAAAGCCCAGTTAAGACTATGTTGAAGCCAGGATTAACATTGAGGAATAGGCAATGCTTGATTCATGCAAATAGCAGAAATTCAATAGTTTTCTATTAAATACTATGCTATTAAATAATGTGTTTAAAAAAACATACAGTTGTAATTAACTGAATGTTCTGCAAATTGATTAGCATATACAAAAACTGTATTTTTAACAAGCTTGAAGACAGGATGAAATGCATTTGATGCCTATTTCTGTTGACACCACTGCTAGTTGTATTCCTAGCTGTGAATTTATATTTAGTCTGATTCATGATGACAATCTTTATTTTGTCCTTTGGCTTCTGTTGTGACTGGAAACAATTGTGTGATCAATCTAGATTAAATTAAATTATGTTTACAATAACTGCACTGTATGTGATGTGTACTGTGAACAATATACTTCCTATTGTGTTTTGTTCTGTGTTTGACTACCAATAAAATTCTTAGAATATTTCTCCAACTCCATTATGCTATTTACTATAGTATCTCCGATATGTCTTGTGCAAACGGGACAAAAAGGATCAGACATTCATCACTTTCCTTTTTCGATTTTCTGCCTTTTTATTGCACCCTGCTAAAGAACACTTGAGTGCTTCTGCATCACTTATAAAGAACCAATTACACTACTGAAGTTGGAGCATATAAAGTAATGCAAATGTGAATAATGAATAAATAAATGGGTGTTTAGCCAAGAATGCTATTTCTTGTATAATTTCACCCACATATAACTCCATTAATTTTAGTATATATAAAATATATTATTCAATTTATCTGGTTCCTATGATTGGACAGTTAATAAATACATATTAAAATAGAATTATGGCATTTTTAAATATGATTTATTTTGTTTCTCACAACTGATTCATCAACTGATTCATTCAGATTTTGTATACTCATTATGGAGTTACATGCTGGCAATTGAGTGATTAAATGTCTATACAATTTTATAGGGAAGAAAGAACTGCATTTTTTCAAGCAAGTGAATACTGCTATGTTTAGTAGAGTACATGTTAAGTAAAGATGTGATTTATGCATCGTGAATGATGCCTCTAAACCTTCCAAGGTTCATAATGAGTGTTTTTAATGACGCTTAAGATTGATGATAGGTTTTGTTTTAACTAGCTGCAAAATGCAAAGACATAACATAAACAAACGTGCAACATACAAAAGTGAATTCATTACATTCATGGGAAATTTAAGTAATGTCAGGAATCAATATTTCGGAGTTTAAACGCACTCCACCACAATCTGACAGCTCCATTTTAATCCGATGTGACGTCACTCAAGCTACCTACAACAACTGATTTTAGGCCATAGCAAGCAAAACTCGTGACAAGTTTAGTAGACTCTACGCTTTTGGCAAAAAAGAAAACCGTTTAGTAAATACTTTGCGTCTTGTGTATGAAAACGAAAATAAAAAAAAATGTTATTTTAAATACAGAAATAATATAAGCTGTAATTAGTTTCATAAAAGGAAAACGAAATATGTTTAAGAGTGGAGTTTATTTTATAGCAAAGAAAGAAAAACTTTTTCGAGTTTGGCCCAGCTGAGTAGTACCTGCGCATACCTGGAGTTCAAGAAATTCTTGCCAACGTCACGTCCCGTAGGCTTGGATAATGTTGAACGGCCCAGGTGAGTACAGAGTTTACTTCCTGTGTTAGACTGAGGGTGTCTGTATACGACATATCAAATACAACGTCCCGGGACGGTACATCTTCACATTTTGTTCAAATGGCGAATGTGGAGGAAACAAAGCAAATGGAGATTATTACACAGCTATCCAACCGAGGTAAGCTATTAGAGACAACGTATTTTGCTGAACATGGTACCTACATTTTATTTTTATGAAAGTTTACGGAATGCTCCCCTGACCCGTTGAGTGCAAAAAGAAACTTCATACACTCACCGAACGGAACAGACTCTTAAGAATCTTATGTTTAAGAACAGATGGGAAGCCTTAAATGTGATGTGAAAACAGGGGCCGTTGACTGAACCAGGTAGAATTCTTCACAAATCTACATGGCAACTTTCAAAGCGAAATTGAAACCTAAGACAAATCACTGAACCGGGTTCATTGAGAAGAGCCACACTCTAGATGTTTACTCATTAAGCCTATGTTATTATTGGAAATAAATATATTTATGTAAAACAATGTCTAAATTTCAATGATGGGTACTACAGGTAAACGTCTGGCGGACTTTAGTTACAGAGAGATGCTATTTCCAAGCTGTAAACGACAAAAACATTTCTCTTTAAATACTACATTCTTACTTCTAACAATATATTTTATTGGTATTGTTGTTAGTTATTATGACCATCCTTAATATTTTTATAGTAATATGTAAGTTTAAAGACAGTAATGATTAACGGGTCCTGTTTATTATTATTATTATTATTATTATTATTATTATTATTATTATTATATGCTTTCCTAGACGGATAAAAAAACTTTTCATTGAAGAAGGGGGATGGGAAACCTGCTCAATAGTTAATGGTGATGCTTTTAGTCTTTGAAATCATCTTAAATGCGTCAAGGAAAGATGCTACAATGTAATTAACACATTTAATACAAATAGGGCCTGAAATGACTTCTCAAGATCTGTGGCCACATAGGGGTTGTCGAGGCAACGTGTTTGATGTGTTCCTTCAGAAAGTTAATAGACTAAGCACAATTTTCCCAGTGTGAGCCTCAGTAATTTTCCGAGTTTGGTAGATTAATTTATGATGAGCTGTCCTGAAATGACGAATTGCTGATTGTTAATCACAAAAAGCACTCCTCACTTCCCCATAAACACACAAACAGCATTCAACCACAATACATGTTCAGCTCTAATGTTCAGCAAATACAAATATGGGGCCCTACATTTTTTTTATCAATTGACCATGAAGTCATAAATGTTGTCTCCCTCTAAAGCATTTTAAAGCTTTTAATTTCTCCATCAACAACTATGGTGCGAGGGCTAAGAATCTCATCCTGTGTCATATTTAAAATTACACATTAAAATAATGCATTTGCTCAACCTCATCCTTTTATACAAAGTTGCTTCTCAAGTGGCCAGCTGCCATAATGCAAACAGTCCTCATTAAAGTGAATAGGTTGGTGTTAATTACAGTCTTTTAGCATGTTTGAAGTGCTGATGTCCTTCAGCATTCCCTGGAGATTACTGATGTTTTACTGCACCACGTCAAAATGATACAATAGCATTAAAAGTCAATTTGTCTGTATTATTAAGGTGTAAAATGTATGTTGTCAATTATTTTAACAAGCCAGAACTTGAAAGTGTTGTTATTGCATTAAATCTGTGATTTGTTGTTGATCTCTGGCACAATTTTAAAAGTTTTTGTATTATAATCACCATGTACTGGACCCTCACTATATCAATGTATAGCCTGGGGGTCCTTTTTGAAGTGTTATAAAAGTAGAAGCATTAGAAAACAGTGACAATGTCCTTATAAAAGTGACATCTTGCACCTCATTATACTGCACATGATACTGTACATGCACTAATATACAAGATACTAGAATGCTTAGCACTACTTTTATTATCTGAGTTACCAAGCAAATAATTAAAATTCCTCTGTCATTTTTTATGTTAATGTAAATGTCTCCAATAATGGCATGCTGTATTAATGCTTTGCAAACATAAGTGCTCACTATAAATGTCCAGTGGTAGTCCAGAAACCATTGAAGTCATTGCCTGGCCATTATGCTAGGAAGACATTTGTTTTTAACAAAGCAGAGCTCTTAGAAATATACCTCATGTCAAACAGAGCTTTGATACCTACTGATATAGTTGGCTAGTTTATTCCATGATGAAAAGTAAAAAGAAAGATTAAACACAGTCGAGTTTAACAGCCAAGTATTTAGTAAGTACTTTAGTATTACTTTTAGTTACTTTTTTGTTTTACTTTTATGGAAATTAACCTCCAGTTCTTCTTTTGTAGCTCAGATGCTAACATGGTGTCTCCCCACTATACCTTTGTTTTTCAGTAAGTTAGGGGACATTTTCATTGTAATACTTGCTTTCAAATACAGCAATAGGAAATGTTCAAACACAGCAGTCAATGTGATTGTTTGATTAACAGATTCAGAAAGGATTTGTATCAGATGAAGTCCAAAGCAAGAACAATCTTGTGAAAAGTAATTTAGATCAAGCCCTGTAATGTGTTCCTCAAACATTGCTTTTTTTCAACTTCCCAAAGCATTCTGAAGCACTCCTCTTTATTTTATGTGTGTATACTCAGAACTGATGGAGACTTTGCCCTTCAGACGAGATGAGACATATAGTTCTGTCAAGGCTTCATCAGGGGTACAATCATTTTCCACCACATTGATATTTCTAAAGAAATAAAAAAAAACAAGGTCAGAACACATTTCAGAAAATTGGAGCTGCATCCTACATTCCTCTCAGCTTATCCAGAATTGTGATTCAGTCTTTAACAGTTTCTTCATTTTGCTTCCACAGCTATAAATGAGTATGAAGGACTCCAAGAAGAACACAAGAAAACCAAGCAAGAGGTCAGTAGCCTAGCATCTCTTTTTTTCTTTATATGGATAATTGTGTCCTTTTCTTTGATGTCCATTTCAATAATGCCTTCACCACTGGCATCCTCCTAAAACCCTCTTTTGCTGCACCTCAGAAGTAGAAGATCTGTTATTGTTGGTTCCACCACTGTCCTTGAGCAGTTCTGCCAAGTAGGTTAGATAGATACAACATTTTTTATTATATTATTTGGATTGTGCTTTCTGGCTGGACATTAAAATGATAATTTCTGACAGGCGATTAAACACGTAAAATTGAAGGACAGCTAAAAAAGATGCAGTTGATTAGTCAGTACTTGAACGAAAGAGTTCAGTTCACTTGCCACATAAAAAAAAATAAATTTCATATGCAACCTTTTATAATGTTTATGGGTTCTAATGTAACAGAAGTTTTAACACATGGATTTTTATTTCATTGCATGATTAAAACAGGCACACAATTAGTATTGGCAAATCAATGAATAAAAAAAGATAATTCCTTCTAATAAATTGCATCCAATTCATGAAATAATTTATACAGCTGCAATACCAATTTAGGCTTAATTTGACTAGTGGTATTCTTCATCTATGTTGCCAGTGACTTCTGAAAATGTCCAATGCTTTGTAATGTAGATCATTAATAACCACGCTAGTTTCTGACAGGCATTTCTCTACTTGTTTTATGTAAATCATTTTGAACAGTCCTTACAATAATATAATTTTCATGAAAGCAAAAATGCCACAAACTATATCTTGGTATTTATAAATACTGGAAGATGGATTTAAGATCCAAGATGTAAAAATGTATACTGCAGGTGGTCTATTCACAAGCATGGAGTGGGACAGTGATAATTTACACTCCTCACCACCACACAATTTAAGAATTTAACAACTGTAGAGATGAAAGAGGCAGTGTACATTTAACTGAACTGTGGAATTTAGAAGGGAATTGGGAGAAAATAATTTTAATAAAGCTTTTATCTAAAATGTTTCAGCTTTGCAAGCTGTAATACCATTGCAATAGTCAAAATTACCTTAACCTCTCTACTTCAGGAAAAGTTAGATATGGTTTGTTTTTAGATATTGTTTAAAATGTTTTACAGTCCGTTTTAACTGAGGTAGCATTGGTTAGTGTAATTTGGCTATGTGGCTGTTTGGAGAGTATACTGAAACTGAATAAACGCAGGCGTTAAGATAATTGTGATTCTATGATGTTAGAGTCTCTATGGCGGTGAAAGCAGAATGAGATGTCAAATTATTCTCCTTGCTTTTTGGAGAAAGGTCTTATTCTGTTGGGAACTGTGGAAGCTGAAGTTTCTTCAGTTGTTCTAATAAAGAAAAGGCCACGCACAGTCATTTTCCACTGGAACAATAATTCCATAAATCCTTCCAGGCATCATCTTGTGAAGACAAGAGCTAGACAGTGCTCTGAACGCTAGGACATAAATGCACAAAGGCAGAAGTAACAAGAAAGTTGCCCAGGACTTGGATGAGAGAAGTGTGGTAATGACTAATGACATAATCCGCTCTGCTCACCCTACATGGGGAGAAAGCTAGTAAAGGTGCCCTAAATGTTGTCTGGCCCTTAACCACTCTCAAAAACTGCGAATTCACAGAATCAGTTTTGGTTCCTTCAACATCACCTTCATAGATAGCATTGATAGTGAATGGCAAGAGTGTTGCCCAGCACTTGGGTCCCGGAACTCAGGTGATGTGAGGTTCACTTTGTTGCCCTTAGTGAGACTTGGCGAGTGAAACTAGACAACTCAAGAGCAGTGAAGGAGCGAAACTGTCTTCGGGAAGGGATAACAGGACGAGTAGTACTGAATGCTGAAGTGGTTTTGGCATAAAAAATTAACTCATAAACCATCCTGATAAGTTTCCTATTAAAATCAATGAGCACCTTAAGACTCCCGATCACGAAGTCCTGAGAGTTGTTATGTCACGGTCATCAGCATCTACTGTATGTACTGACAATGCAATCAAGGAACCCTGGCCTTCCTGGTGTTCCTGAGGGAGATAGAATTATTTGTTTTGGTGAGTTCAGTGCTAGAATTGGAAGTCACCCAGTGCTCTGGAATGGAACCATTGGTGGTGAAGCAGTAGGAAAGGTCAACTCCTGTATCTAGTATCCTTCTCGAGGGCAAATATGTGAAACGTGGTCTAATCAGTTCAGCCCATTCCACCAAAAAACAAGTCCAAGACATCATAGCAACACAGCTGATTTATGAATGTTTTTAAAGTTCTTTACAGCAATGTTACTTTTGACTACCAATAAGCTCTAAGATTAATTAAATTGGAATTGATGCTTAACACATTAACTATTCCATCAACAACCACTCTATATGCTCTGTCACTTTTGATTCATGGAGAGTATGACAAGTTCTGTGTTACATGAAATATGAAATATATCAGATATGAAAGAAGAAATATATAAATGGTCTGGATCTATATGCCACTTATGAATAACTATTCTCATTTTTGGATATACTAAGTGTTTATTGTGGAGCAAATGATCCAGGATGATGGCATCTATCTTGTTAGATCATCTTGCTGGTGTTACAGTTTGAGTATGTTGGAGGTTAATCCAGTAAATATGTAAATGTCCATGTTAGCAGCAAGAACCTTTTTACTTGATTATGAATTTGAAAACATAAAGATGTGTAACCTTTCATTGGGTTTTGTCAGGGATATCCTGGAAAAGCTCAGTGAAGTTCAAGCTCAGTGACTGAACAGATTATGAGGCAATTTAAAAGATTTTAAATGTAGTTTTTTATGTTTAGTAGTATTATATGGAAAGCTTTAACAACATATGCAGAATCCATGATTTAATGTAATCACCAACAGATGTCACATTCAATTACATGAACAGCCTTGTATTGGAAAAGATCTCATTGACTGTACGTATTTTAAAACGCGTTTAATATGTTTTACACCCAGTCTTTCATCAAAAGGTCATATCTTTTGGCCCTATTTATAGTGTACAATAATAATCCCACAACCAATATGCGCAAGTTAATCACAGACGATTAGATTTCAGAACTGCAGCCATGATCAATGGCAGGGATTTATTTTTGAAAGCAGAATTTCATAATTAGAATCTGATCTGGAATTATCATTCAGTAAAGCACATGAAATGGCTTTACCTAAAGCAAGAATGCCTGAAACTCATATTTATCATCCAAGTTGCTAACATTTCTATAGGTGAAATTGTTTAATTGCAAGGATTTTTTTCTTTTGTATAACATTCAGTTTGGTATGAAAACCTGTATATAAACATCTTGCTGATTAAACTAATACACATTACTTTGAGAGAGAATCTGAGGAGGGAATAAATTGAGACATTGTGAGCCCAATTCAGTTATAAATTTAATATTGTATAATTGTATTAATATTGCATAACACCTCCACCTTCAATCCTCTACTAAGTTGTAAAGAGTGCTTGCTGGATAAAATGTGAATTTTTCCTAGTATTTTTTTCCAGGCCAACAAACAAGGTGTCAGGTTCAAAAGGTGGATATAGGTTGTGAGAGAGAAATTTAAACAAGTAGTGTTTTTTTTCCAAACTGCATTATTCCAGTTTATAGGTCTACTTTTAAAGACGGGAAAACCTAGACATTTGAGTAAAATCGAGGAAAATAGCAGATGTTTGAACCTGTTCCTGCCCATGATTTTGAATAGCCATTATAGTTGCAAATTGGGTCACACTTGTATTCACAGGTCCAACCTGAATGAAGATGAAGATGTTCCTATACCTCTCTCATATCTGACTGTTGAGGATCCTGTAGGCTGAAATGTTGACTGAAAATGTACTAGAAGAAACTAAAATGAGTAGAGGTCTACTCGATGTACAATTTCAGTGACTCAGATATAAACAAAAGTACATTATTAAAAAGGTATCTTGCAAACCTACAGGACCCATAACTAGAGGCTCCACAAAACATGAACTTTTTATTTTAATTGCATATTATTATAGAGTATAGACAAAATGATCCTGGCACTTCTTATCTTCTTTCAGCGAGCTTCTTAGGAAGGCTGCTGAGATGGGACTCTGTGACTCAAATCCAGACATCATAAGCTGGGTCCATTGTCATGCCTTCATTGATGAAGTGCCTACAGTACATCAATATACCTTAGTGTGCAGTTTTAAGAGGGAGAGACGTCTCCCTGGCTTCTAACTGAGGCCAAAATGCTAGAGAGAATTAATATTGTAGCAGAAATGCTTTAGTTTAAGGAAATCCATCTTTTTCTGTCTTCTAAAATTAAAACCTTAACACAGTTAAAGATGTAGTTTGAAGGATCTAAATTTGCCATGCATATTTTTGAATACAGAAATAATCACAGTGTATACAAAAAATGTTGATGATGATAATAATCGTTACACTTCTAGCACTTCTCTGGACACTCCACCAGCACTTTACAGGCAATGGGGATTCCCCTCCACCACTACACCTCAGGTGTAGCCCCACCTGGATGATGAAACGGCAGCAGTAATGCGCTAGTACATTCACCACACATCAGCTATCAGTGGGGAGGAGAACAGAGTGATGAAGCCAATTCATAGATAGGGATTATTAGGAGGCCATGATTGGTAAAGTCCAGTGGGAAATTTGGGGTTACACCCCTATTCTTTTCGAGAAACACCCTGGGATTTTCAATGACTACTGAGAGTCGGAAGCTCGTTTTTATGTATCAGCCGAAGGACAGCCCCTTTTTACAGTATAGTGTCCCCGTCACTAAACTGAGGTATCAAGACCCACAAAGGAGGTGTCTCATCCAGGTACTGACCAGGCTCACACCTGCTTAGCTTCAGGGGGTTGCCAGTTGTGCGTTGCAGGGTGATATGCCTGCTGGCTTGTCATGTGAAGATGAAAGGCATGTAATATAATAATACATAACACGTTAATATTGACATTATCACTCTACTAAAAACTTGATTCTCTGGATTGAACTCTGTTTTGCAACAGTTTCAATTTTTGTTCCCTTCAGAAATTCTTAGTGCCGAAGTACAAATCTATTTTTTGGTGTTAACTGGAAAGAACATGGTCTGTTCTCTCCAGCAGACCATTTTAAGTTATTAAAAGAGGACTACTCCAGCAAGAGCAGGCACATGAAAAGAGGTCAGTCTGTAGTTTGTGTAATAGTTAAGTAATTTGTGAAATGTGATAAAATTGGATGAAGCCAATAATCAGTTCAACTAGATCATTTATAGTTGTAGTGGATTTGAAAACTGTGGAGAGAATGACCCTCCAGGACAGGGATTGGGCACCACTGCCATATGGATTCATCAATTAGATTCATATCAGGACTCTGTGGCAGCCATTCAAGCACTTTTAGCACATCAGATTTCACCTCACACTCGAATTGCTTTTTAACTATGTCAGTAGCATATTTGCACAATTATCCTGTGAAAATTCAGACTCACAACTGTTGTGCATTTTCTTCATGATTCCTAGAGTGCGTGTTACCCACTTTACCAGAAATCATACAGTGATTTTAACTGCTTTGAATTATATCACCTTTTTTGAGGGATATAAGCAGTCAGAAATATCCATATTCATGTAGTTTCTTTTTTATGGTTCCTTCTCAAGGTAAGAATTGACCCAAATGTTCGTTTTTGTTTTCAGTTTGAAAGAATTAAAAAGGACCGAGATGATGCGATCAACAAACTCAAAGAGTTTCAGAGGCGTAAGTATTTGATTTTTTTACCTTTTGGTTGAATGTGATGCTAGTATGTGCTCTCAAGCCTTATCCCTGGTCCCTGCATAACAAAACAAACCACTTCAGTGAAACTTTGTGTATTTTATTTAAACCTTAGCTAATGGTCATGGGAAATAATTGTCAGCATTTACAATACAACTTTACATTTTTTCCTCTTCATAACATAATTGAAATAACCAGACAATACACAAAATTGGTTAAGAAGAATTTTCAAGCCTTCTGCTGAACCCAATCCAAGCAATCAGAAGATTGTTTCTATGCAGTTCTACCCTAAATGCAATTCACACTTTGCAAACACCACATTTAGTCTGCTGTTATAGACATCAGGTGTTGCATCCTTTACAGCTAAACTGGTTTACAAACAATTTTCCAAGTTAAGTGCATCTTTATTTTTTCTCAAAGCTATCTCATTTGTTTCTGATCTCAGCTGACCAGACAAATATGCTGTATTAGAATGTATTATGTTTAAGTGTTAGGGCCCATTTGTCGTGGCTTTTAGTGGTAAATCCATTCGGGATACATGGCGTTATATAGATTTTTATGTAGCCACCTTGTGGTCTTTAATCAATACGTGAAATATGTGCTCAATAAACTTGGAATTGCTAGTTATTTGTATAAAAAATAAGCTGACCAAACCATAATATTTAGATTAAAAAGTAAGGAAAGCATTTTCAATAAATTAATATTGTCATACAGTAGTTGCTAAGGAACTCTTATTTCTTCAGAACAAACATCAGCAAACACTGAAAATGTTAATGTGGATAAACGATCCTGGTGATGTCAGAATAAACCTCAGGTACAATAAAGTCTACTTTCCTATAGTGACTATACTATACAGTATGTGAGAAATCATTGGTATTATGGACAGCATGGTGGTTAGCCTTGCAGCACTGGAGCCCTGGATTCAATACCTGCGGTGCTATCTGTGTGGTGTTTGTATTGTGTGAAAATTGCCCCTGGTGTGAGTGTGTGTCACATTTTATTATCATGTAATAAAATTTCCTAGAGTAAATACCATTTTGTATTTCTATTACTAATCGCTTGAACTCTCAAAACAGCTTAGTTCTGGGGAAACAGAATATTTGTCTGCAAAATTAAGAAAGTCATGTTACACAAATAGTTCATGTAGGTGTCTGTGTCAGCATGTGGAGGCTGCAAAGGAACACATAAAGGTTTATTCCTTGCTGAAAAGAGAAGAAAATCACAACGTTTCGGCTATGGGGCCTTCTTCGGGTGTGGCACTTGTTCCTATGTTACACAAATATATCAGTTTAAAGTACAAAAAGTCTGCTCCTTGTTATGCACATCTACATATGAGCCTTTGTTTTTTTAGTTTTAGAAAATGGCCTTAGTGCTGATTTGTGTTAATTGCATTCTATTGAATCTGTAATTAGTTCTTAAAGCCTATTTTTTACTCATATTGATTTGTTGAATGCTATAACAAGCATTAATTTCAGTATTATTCATTATAATTAATGATCGTTTTTGGATCATCTGCTTGTAGCACTGGTAATTGCTTGCATTGTTTTTTCACTGCCTTCATTTACCATACATTTTATCAACAAGTTATCAACCACTGTATCATGAAATAATATACAAGAAGATCGGTCTGGAAAAATGTATTTTTAGCAAACACTTTATCCCAAGGGGGTCCCATTGCCTTGCATGACAATCTTAAAAAGGAGCTTTTTTGTTATACTGGTAGTATTGGGAACTCTTGCTTCAGAAAATAAGGTGTGGATCTTCCTCTTGTTGAGGCATTAATGACAGCAATATTGTATTGCTGCTGTTCTGGATCTGGTTGTTTTTCGACATCATACTGCCATCATTCAGTAGTGAGTATGTCTTTGTAATTTGTACATGCACTAAGGTTTTCTGATACTTTAGTTTCTGTGTATCCAAGAGGTCATTATTGTTACACATTGGTAACAGTAGTCCTTCTTTGCATATTACATGTATTAATTCTATGCAAATTAAGTGTTGATAATACAGCAAATAATCTTTCCACAAGCTAATGAAATTAAATATGAGAGCACAAAATAGAAACAGTATTATAATTTCCAGAACCAGTGCCAATATTTAATAAATACACTTCTCTACTGTCAATAAATGCATGATATTTTCAAAAAATGTTTTCTGTTGTAACTATTTTCCTTCTCATACAGCTGGGTTTTATTTTCAGATTGAATGAATGTTTAAAATGTAAATATCTGGACTCTGTTCTCCAATGAGCTAGGATGTAATTGAGGGGATCTGTAGGTGCTTGATTGAAAGCTGGTTTCAGTTTTCAGCTTCTGACAAGTAGATGTTGACAAAAGCTGGCAAGAACTTTGCAGTAAAACTTACTTCTGTCTTGTATAGTTCACTTGTAGATGGTAGTCCTTCGTATGAATCAGCATAGATTTGGTGCATCGCTGTTCTCAAGAATGATGTGGTATAGTACTGTGTGATTTTGTATGATTGATGAACATGATTTTCAAAGTGACGTCTCAGCTCAGCAGGAGAAAGTTCCTGCTTTAAAAATTGCATTCAAAGAACTCTGAATCACACAGAAATCACACCCTTCAGTTCTGTGACTTAAAAAAAATAATTAAAATACCTCTTTCTCAAAATACCTAAGACAGTGCAGGGTTGTTACTCCCATTTCATTTTTTGATACAAAAGCAAACAGAAGCTTTGTTAGAGAGGCAATAAACATCCCTAATCTGGGCCAGATTTTAATTAATTGAAAGAAAAGCCTCCATTTAACAACTATGTATGAGACCCATGCATTGCTGCTATCGATTTCTGACCTGCACCTGACATCAGAACCTAGCCTGCCCCTTGTTGGACAGATCTACTTCTTTTTGAAGCACTTGTGATAACATAAGAAATATAAATATAACATAAGAGAGAAGAGGCCGTTTCATCCATCTGACCCATTTGGTAGGTAGAAGCTTCAAAAACATGTCTGGGTACAGTAGCTTGTTCCACACAACCCAGATGTATCCATGTGACATGCAGATATCTCATACACGTGGAGTGTACCTTTCTAGTTTAAATTTACAGGGAGGTCAAGAGTCAAGAATATTTTTTTCAAATAGTTTTTCCATTGTCATACTAAAGTTCTGTAATAAGATTTTGTATTGGTTCTTAAACTATGAAAAACCTACATTTGATGTCACCCTTCTTAGATGCAGAAAGTTAAAAAACAATGTTATTCAATATTAGAAGTTTGCAGAACTATTACATAAAGTAGTGCTCCCAGATATGCGTTTGTTACATGTTGCAGGTCAGCTATAAGAAGCAAAGAGCTGTTGAGCATAGAGAACAAACTTTTAACAGCTGCTCTGAGCATTAACAGTCTAATGGCAGTTTGGCTAAGACATGAGTCTCCTTTTTGCATTTTCATTATCAGTAAGTAGATTGTGTATCTATTTGCTTCTGCTTCTTTAATATTCATGTAAAAAAGTAATTTCATGTTTCACATTTCATTTTACGGAATATATTATCTTTTAAGCAGTGGTACCCTCTAAGTACTACTTGACGTAAAGCTTTATTATACATATATACAGAATAAGAGGGATAAAAGGAGGGTAAAAAATTAATGGAAGAAACTGAATTGAAAACACTTGTTCTTAACTTAAGTTAATTTTAGCACATTTTTGAAAAAAGGCAATATGCACTTAATTAAGTTTTGAACTGAACTCGAAATATAGTTTTGTTCTACACAACCCCCGATTTCTGCTATTGAGCATTTTGATAGTCTTTTGACACACTTATCTTTGATTAAACACATTCTTTGTCACGAGAAGAAACCTTGCAACCAAACTGAAAGAAAGTAAAAGTATTATGATTTTTTGTTGAAGAAAACAATGCCATGCTTTAGTTAAAGTACAATATAAAAAGGCAGTTATTTTGATGAAGTGGTACACAGGATTTGTGTCTGAATAAACTTGGCCTTTGCTCAGCTTCCATTTGTTCTTCTGGAATAAACACATATTGTGTGAGATTCCACTTTAATAGGGGCTCCGGTTGTATGCCAAGCAGCTGCATTTTAGGACCTATTACGTGATTTCATAGCTCTCAGAAAATTGCTTCTATTCAGTGCAAACGACAGGAAAAAAAAGCTTCAACACACAATCATTTCTTTTCAATTGGCGATGGCAAGGTTGATGACAACATGACCATTGTGTTATAATGATAAGACCACTAAGGCATCTGCCCCTCTCATCAAGGCTTCGCTACAGCAGCAGATACAATTTAATTCACTGCTCTGTCGGCGGTGCTGATACCATTATGCTGCACGTCTCCACAGTTGTAATCACTGTCCTCTGAGAAAACCTGGCTGAAACGATCTGGAGCAGTCAAAGAAACTCACAATTAAGACTGCCAATTCCAATGTGTCAGATTGTGTCGCATGCACTTGTACAATTTTCACTTCCAATCCTGTTTATTTACCATGTCTACCAGTAATTACACTTAACGTGTCATTTAGTTCAAGGCGGCCCTGCCCGCTGCGTTTGTCGGGCATTATAAAGCTGGTGAAAGAGGGAGCTACCATGGCGGTTAGTGGCTTTTAGTGACTGGTGGATGCTACAGTAACTTTTGACGAGACTGATACTTGTAGCATCGGTCTCATCAAAGTATAATGAGAGGTCATTCTAGGGCACCACTTGTAATAACAGCTCTGGTTCATGTTCTTCTTCTTGTCTACAGTGGCTAATTACTTAAGTGGTGTTAAAATAGTCCATGTCTGCTGTGGATTATGGTTTTAAACATCAGACTCTCAAAGCATTCATCACAGTATTGTTTTTTTAATTGTAAAATGTTTATTAATTTAGTTTATATACGAAATTCCCCAATCTTAAAGTGCTGATTTGATTTTTGTTGTTTACTTCAAATTTCTCTTAAACTCTCCCATTTGCTCATTATTTCCTTGTTTCTGTATACACCTGACTCAAGAGCACTGGTTTCCACACTAGAATCCAATCACCCTGGTTGGTCTTTGGGTGGTCAGGGCTGAGATACATTCTTTCCTCTAGACAGGTGAAAATTAAATTAATAGACATCAAATTGCTTTAACCTTGTCTTGCAACCTCATTTGCTGCCCCTCCTGCAAGGTCAATGCAATGTGACAACCCTCCAGCAGGACAATGTCTTATAACTCCTGTTCAACTCCTGTGGCTTTCTTGCGAGATGGCGAGACAGTAGATGTCTTACATGTCAATCGAACAGTTTTACAATAAGCCTGGGACAACATGTGCCATCTAGGTCTCAGAGTCCAGTAAACAAGCATAAGCTTAACCTGGTTCTATGATGCGAATGGGACAGTATTCCACAAGACAGAATCTACAACCGGATGCAAAGTGATTTACTTTCCTTCCTGTGGTGACTTATCTCTAGCCTGAAACATTCACATTCTCAGACTTCCTGCTGATACATGCTAATGAACATAATGAATTTACCTACATCATGCATTGTCAATAAAAAGTCAGTAAATAAGTATTGTAATTGTTCTGGTAACTTTGTGATTTTGTTGCCGATGCAAAAAAGAAAAGAACGTTTTCTTTTGTTTCTCAGTATATGGTTCTGTTAGCTCCTTATTTGAAATGGAGACAGGGTTATATGTTAATTTAAAGCGTAGGTTAGGTGTCCATTTTAAAACAAGTTTTTTTTTTAAATGGTGTCAATGGCGAGGAGGTTTGGAATCCACCTGTATGTGTGTGTGTGTGGGGTGGGAGAGTGTATGTAGCAGTGAAAGTAATGAGTGGCCCCAGCTGATGGATTCTCGCAGCTTCCACAGAGAGTGAATCTAATGTTCCAGTGCAGTCTGGTGGTTAAGTAGATGACTTTATGACCTTAAAACATTTTACAAATTGTGCAGGACAGCATTTCCTAGATCTACTTGAGTGAGCATTTAGTTTGAAGTAGAAAATACAAAAAACCAAAATGATAAAAACCTGACACTTAACTATGAGCGAATTGTGTATGAACGAATCTGCCTGTTGTATCCGTGACATTGATTTTATACGGCATGTTCAGGTGGGACCTTTCCTCTAGGCCTTCCTCGGGACTCCTGTCACAAATTTTTCACTGACGTCATTTGCAGATGAGGAGGAAAAGGCAGCAAAAATGTTTAAAGAAAAACTCTTAAAGCTTAAAATATTGTTTTCAACTTTTTAGTACTATTTAGTACTAACTAAAGCTGTCACTTTAGTAGTATGCTGCTTACATGTACTTTGAATACTGATAAAGTTTTATAGCATAGCTATTCCTTTGTATTATCATCATCTGAGTAATTGTCTTATTTCTTATAATGAATTGAGGTTAAAGCCTTGTGAACATAACCCTGTCCTTGTATTGTATTTTCATTGACTTTTGACTTGGGGGAAACCATATTGTTAAGATTAAGAACTTTTGAAGCTGAAGCAATGACTGAATAGGTCTGACACAAATGAAGTTACACAGTCAAGTGCAGTTGCAAATTTCCCCACTCTCTGAAATGTGATTAAAAAAGCATTAGGGAACATGGAAACAATTACATTTTTGTTTGATAATATGTAGGCTCGGGTTGCGTACACAGTAAATGTTAAGAAATCAGTTACTAGTTTCTTTTCTTACATGATTAAGATTTAAATGGAAAAGATCAACGCTCAACATTCCAAAGAGCTTATTTAATATTGTTAAAAGCTTTTGCTCCTCCACAAAACACTTTGACTCTTCACAAAACTTTACTCTACGAAAAAAGTGTTTTCTCATTTTCCTTTTTAGAAATCAAAGCATTTGTCTCTGTTGATCTATTTGAGCTAGATTTAACATTTAACATCAATGTTTAAGCCACCTTTTTTCCTAACCAAAGAAAATGGTGTAGGAATTTCACTATACATAACTCTTTTTAGGAATGCTGCATTTGTTTGCCATTTTGCCCCTTGTTTTTTCTTCATTAATTTTATAATCTCTTGTATCATAGTTACAGTAGTGTTAAACTAAGATCTGACCTATGAGAAGAAGCTCTATTGTAACTGTCAAAAGCATTATTGATTGAAAGATGTATTCTGTCTTACAGTAATAAACTAGGAGGAATCTTTCAGCATGAAACAGTGCAGTTTGATTTCCAATAGATGAAAGAATTCTTCAGGACCTAGTTTTGCCAGAATTTCCAGTTAGCAGACCAAAACAAACTTTCACAGTCACATCCGATGCTGTGCGCAAAACAATAAATAATGTGGAAGAGGACACGAAAGTATATAAATAGCTATTAATGTCAACATAAAATATTTCTTACAGTAGTGATTAGGATTTGAATAGAAGAATTTTATGAAAATCTGTGAAAACCTTTTTCTTTCTCCATCAGTTTCCCACCTGGTGATTGAGGAAGTCACTGTCATCCAGGACAATCTGGATATTGAGAAATCCTGCAGAATGAGTGCTGAGTCTCTAGCCTCCAAGGTGTGTCCAGTTTTTTTTATGAACACAACAATTTCTATTCTGGAGTAACACTTCAAGTTCAAGTTTGTCATATGTGCTGAGTGCAATGCAATGCTTAAAGTTTCCTCACATGACGGATGACATAACAATGACACAATAAATGACATCACAAATTGTTAAAGACAGTCTTCTTCTTCGCATTTTCCTACTTATGTGGGGTCTGCTTGTTTGCACCGATTTTTCCACTTTGTACGGTCTGGGGCATCTCTGCGGGTGACTTTTGCGAGGCGCATGTCGTCTTTCAGCTGATCCAGCCAGCGCGTAAGTGGTCGTCCACGGGGCCGGCGGCCTTCCACATTCAATTCGAGGGCGGTCTTTGCCATTGATGTGTCATTGCTGTGGAGCACGTGATTGGGGCGACTTTGAGTGTTTTTCGCACCCCTAAATTCATGACATGGTCTAGTCTTGTCAAGCCGAGGGTCCATCGCAGCATCTTCATTTCCATCGTAGTGAGTGCCTGTTCATGTTTCTTTGTCGTTGGCCAGCATTCAGTTCCGTATAGAACCACTGGTCTGACCACTGAGCGGTTGACTTTGGATTTTAGGCGTAAAGGGATCTTCTTGTCGCATAGTACTCCAGTGACCTGCCGCCATTTCATCCAAGCAGCGCTGACTCACGTCTTGGCGTCTTGGAGGGTAGTGCAGTCGGAGTTGACACATGAGCTTAGGTACTTGAACTGTGTCACTTTGTTCAGTTGGACCCCACCAGCTGCGATTGTGCCATCGGTTTGATCATAGCATTCCAGGTACTCCGTCTTCTTGATGTTCAATTTCATCCCGAATCGTTCAAGGCGTGTCTTCCACTACTGTACATGCTGTTCGAAGCCATGTCGCATTTCACTTGCTATCATAACATCGTCAGCATACAATATCGTCCTTGGATGCCTCGTTTGGATATCTTTGGTCACTGTATCCATGCAAAGTATGAATAGCAGAGGAGACAAGGCTGAACCTTGGTGGACGCCAACATTGATCGGGAAGGTGTCTGAGGTTCCAGCTGCGCAACGTACCGAGCTAGTGGCCTTTTGGTACAGGAGCTTTGTCCAGCTGACATAGGCTTCGGGAACGTGGTGCTGTCGCAGCGCCAACCAGATGAGATCATGCGGTACCCTGTCGAATGCCTTTTCCACATCCAGAAATGCCATGTGGATCGTTTTCCTCTTCCTTTCCTTTCCTCTGCCTTTCCCTCAGTAGGCGGGCTGCCTGTATGGCGTCTGTTGTTCCGCAGTTTTTCACAAAGCCGCATTGGTTTGGCGAGATATCGACGATGGTTCTTAGTTGTGTGTCCAGCACACGCTCGAAAACATCATTGTATGGCACAGGAGCCGGATCGGCCTGTAATTGGAGCAGTCATTAACGTCGCCTTTGCCTTTCCAAATTGGCACTGTGATGCTGGTGTGCCACTTTCCAGGGGTGCCTTTTCCTCAGTGATCTTATTGAAGAGGTCCGCGAGCCATGCTGCTCCTTGTGTTCCAAGGAGCTTCCATACTTCGGCTGGGATTTCGTCTGGGCCAGTTGCTTTGCCACTTTTCATCTTGTTGATGGCGTTGGTTACTTCTGCGATTGTGATGGTGGTTACTGGGCCAGAGATGGTATCATCTGCTGGTAGTGGAGGATGCGGAAATTCCTCATTGCATATTTTCCCGAAGTAGTCCTTCCAGCGCTGGAGGATGTCTTTTGGCTTCTGCAGCATCTGCCCATTTTCATCTTTGATGTTGATAACGTGTCCTAGGTCTTGTGTGGCGCGGTCACGTGCACGGGCGAGTTGGTAGATCCTGTTTGCCCCACCAGGGGTGTCCAGTTGATCATAAAGGTCCTGGTAGTGCGCCGCCTTTGCAGTCGCCACGGTTCACTTTGCGCTTTTCAGTGCGCGGTATCGTACAAGATCTTCTGGGCGTTTTGTCTGCCACCAGGTCTTGTAGGCGTCCTTTTTTGCCTTGGTTGCCTGCTGCACATCGTCATTCCACCACCAGGTCTGTTTGTCGATAAAGCGTTGTGGTTTTTTTGGTTCCCAGGGTGGTTGCGGCGCATGTCTTGACACGTTCAGCCAGGTCATTCCAATCTTCTCTGACTGTTGATCTTGGATTGGGCACCAATGGTCCTAGTGTCGCCTTCATGACAGCTCGATGTTCTGGTAATTTCCACCATTTGATGCATTCAATCTTGGTGGTTGGTCGCGCCGGGGTTTGGACCAGGCGGACTTTGGCATCCAACACCAATAGCCGATGTTGTGGGGCGGTGCTGTTGTACGGGATTACTTTGTTGTCAGTGACCATTTTGAAGTCTCGTCGTCTCACCATCCAGTAGTCGCTCAGATGTTCGACCGCCGCTGTAGTAGGTGATGAGGTGTGATTCCCACTTTTTGAAGAAGGTGTTGGTGATGGCCAGATCCCAGGCTTCCGCGTGCTCTAGGATCCGGATGCCGCTTTCATTGCGGTTGCTGTGTCCTTGTCCGCCATGGTTACAATCGAAATTATCCTTTGCTCGGCCAACATGCCCATTGAGGTCTCCACCTATGAAAAGAATTTCACTGTCATCGATGGCTTGGGCGTGCGTTTCGAGGTCATGCCAAAATTTCTCTTTATCCTCGTCTGGGCAAACAGCCTGCGGTGCATAGCATGTGCAGTGTGCTGGTTCCCATGCTGATTTTGGATCCTTTTTGGCTGTTGTTGTTGTTGTTGGTGATGATGATGGACTAGTTTCTTTAACCTTCTCCGTCCTTGAGCCGGTAGCCCTCGCCCATTTCTCGCAGCGTCAGGGCGAGGACGCTGTGCGTCGCCTGCGGGGGACGCACTAGCATTTCCCGTATGTCGTTGAGTTGTCGTGTGCATTTTGACACAACAAGGAATTTTTCTTCAGCCGGCTTGCTGCATGGCCTGTCGCTGAAGTCCCTCCTCCTTTCGTAAACGGGCTTGGGACCGTCTATGGCGGAGTTAAATTGTTGAAGACAGTAACAGCTGTCATCTTCAGCAGCATTCAGTTAGCAGTGTGCAAAGTCCAAGTAGTGGCAGCATTGTAATTTCAGCCCAAAATATTTGACCTGATGTACTTTTCATCTGAAATACAATCTCCTACTCTTAAATAGTTTAATCTAAAATTCCCTTCCTTTAGCAGCTGTGGTTGTAGGTTATATTCATTATATGAACTTTTCAAAGGCCTAGGTGGAAGTACAGGCGGTCCTTGTTACGAGTTTCCCTGCTCAGTGGTGTTTAGCACCTAAGTCAATGATGAATTGAAAAATTGAAAAACTCCATGTAAAGCACTCCTGTACTTAATTCTGAAGTCTGAAAATCGGCATTGTATTATATAGAATACATAATATACAAGAATTAAAATCTATAACAATAGTACAGTTTTATCTATGATTGCTTTTTAAGAAACTCAGCACTGTACATTGGACACAATATGCATTATACAACAATAGCGGAGTTAAAGGGAAATAAAAAAACACAGCACATTTACTTAGTGAAACAAAAGATTAGGATAAATTAAACATTATAACTTCAGTAAAAAAAAGCCATTCAAGATACAAGAAGATCACACTTGCCCATTGTGTAGTGCCTGGTCTTTTACAGAGTAAGAAGGCTAGAATTAGCAGATATAAGGCTAAGAACTGGACTATTCTCATGCAGTAAATCATAAAAATTATGCGGAGCTAGATAACTTAATAAGTAAGTTAAAGGACAGGAGTTATAAACTGATGCAGAAACACATTTTAGTTAATACATGTGCCTCTGAATTCTGTACAGACTGAAACTTATTAGTATGTTAGAACAGTTTCCCAATCCTGTTCTTAAAGTACCCCTGCTTTTCATTCCATCTGAAGAGTTTTAAAAATAAAAGCAAATTGTTTGATTCTAAGAAAACTAAAAGTTCATCAATAGCAGAATTAGGTCAGAGATTAGAATTAGCTTAAATTTCTAACCTCATTTTGTGTTCCACATAGGACCTGTGAGGCAGTAAGAACACTTATTCCCACCTGTCTCTCCACCTCATTCATTGAGTCGTTTAGAAAACAATTTTAAATTTTAACTTGGAATACAGTACTACTCCGTGTAACTAATCAATATATTTGTTAGTAATGACACACATGAAGGAAATAATCTATGAGGCTTTTTAATAAGATTAATTGTTTGAGAATTATGTCTGAATGAAAAACAGTAGAGACAGAAGTTCTCCAGGACCAGGGCAGGGTAAAGCTACTGTACCTTAAAAGATACCCCCAGTTTGTAAGGCATTACACTGCTCAAATCTAGATGAAGTTAAGGCATGTTTCACTATTGCAGCATTAGACAGGCAAAGCAAGTGTCTTTACCAAGCAGTGTTATACAGATGGAGGAAAGATGCCCTTATGACTTATGGCATGTGCTTCAAATGAAAGTACAGGGTCAAAAGTAAAAACAAGATTTATAACTTCTATTAAAGTCTAGTCTAAAAGAGAAAAATCCATGTGAAATAAAATATGCCTTTATTGATTGTCCTTGCTTAGATGTTTTTAACACCTTAAAGCATTTTCTTCAAGTGGTAAGCATTTGCAATTTTCAAAAGGGAGTTTTTATTTGTTTAATCCCAGGGTCGTGCTGTTCTGTATATCCGATGGAATCCATATGTGTTTTTGATCAATTTTGGATTTTTGGAGCAAATAATTTGCTGAATTGGGAGACAGAAGAAAATTATTAAAGAACATCTAGCCCATCTTATTATATTTAAAAATTAACACTATTTTTTCTTAAAATTGATTTGCCACAAAAAATCTCTAGTATTTTGTCTTAATGTATTAAAAGCCAAGATACATAATTTGAAAAGCAAAATCTATTATTGTGTTATGTTAATTTGACGTCTGTTCTTATTTGCCTTTGATTCTTGTTTACACTGTTGGTTTGGTCTGCAGCTGTAAATAAGTAAGTCACTCAATACGTTTTGATTGAATCTGTGTTCATGAAGTGTTATTTTTGCCAAATC